TCAAGTGTTAGACAAAGAGGCCCTTCAGGAGCAGCTAATGAACTGGCACAGCCAGGCCTGCTTGGCTGCACCAATGGCTTGTGACCTTAGTGGCTGCCTCCCCTCGCGCTGCACCTAAAACATGGGGGAGCGATGAAGCTGGCACGGAACGTGCGGAAGTGCAGCACCTGCACAGGTGGGCTGCAGGGCCCATGTGCTTTCCAGCCGTATCTTAAGAAGCTGCTTCACCATCTGTGGGACATGCAAATCTTCATTGCTTATTTTTATTACATTTCTAATTTGTCTAGTAACTAACATTCTCTGGGTAGAAAACTAAAATACCACAAAAACTGTTAAATATATAAAATATAATGCCAGTATTAAAGACAATACAATATAAAGCAAAACAGCACAGAAATCAATAAAAAAGCTGTCATAACTTAGGTCTCCCAAATGCCTGAGGAAAAAGGAAAGATAACAAATGAAGCATGAGGTGTACCTCTTTGGCAAATTCACTGCATAAGTTGGCTGCCACCTCAGAAAATTCTCTCTCTAGTCACCTGCCTAGCTTCCTTTGATGAAGGCACCTGGAAGAAAGCCTATGAATATGACCTAAGGGTTGGGGAAAGTACATGCAGGAGAAAAGGTGCCCTTAGACACTCAGCCATTTAGGTCTTTCAAGGTGTTTTAACCTCAAGAGTTGGATCCAGCCAAAGCCCCTCACTTCATATTCAAGGCTACTCAGGAAGAAAGTGAACTACCTGAGAAACATTTGACTGAATGCATAAAATGATGAAATAAAGATGCAGATGATCAGTAAACAAGAAGAAAAGCTTACAGATGTCCCTGTAGTGTCAGGGTTTCAAGATGTGACAAACATTACTCCTGGGACACTAGTTACTTGGACATTTTGTGTGCTCCAGCTTCCAAGAGAAAGCAAGAGAGCAGTGCCCTTGCCATGGATTTTATCCAGTTCCTTTCTCCCACTGTTTCAGAGGCTCTGATTACATACAGGCAGCCCCCCCCCCCCCGCCCTTCCTTGAAGCAAGAAAAGAGAGGGTGAGAGAAGGCCCAGCTATCCCCATTAACTCCAGCAAAAAGGTGTGTTATCATCTTAAGGAAGAGGTGAGGAATTCACAGTGCCTGGTACCTGGTGATCTCATGCCTTCCCTAAGCTTCTATAGGTTTCTCACTGCAATTAACCCTAAAAAGTATCTGTGGGTACAATTAATACCTGTGCTGGACCCTAGAAATAATTCACATGTAATGCTTCATCACAGTGTCTTCCAGTTATTAATCCCAACACCAAAGGTCAACACCAACACTTTCAGTTGGGCTCAGAAGTGGACTGGAAGTCATTGTGGTTGCTGAAAGACTGCCCTCACATGATGCTTACTAAAGCAGCCTTGTTTTGAATTAATTTACATTTCTGAACCAACTGCAAAGGTGACCTCAGATATCATGCATTGCAGTAATCCAATCAGGAAGCCAGCAGAGCATGGACGACTATCACCATGCCATCTCTGTCCAGATAGGGTTGCAGCAGGCCTATCAACCTCAGCTGATAGAAGGCGCTCCTTGCTCCTGAGGTCACCAGGGCCACAAGCGACCATGATGGATCCAGGAACACTACCAGGAGTGCTCTTCTTTCAGGGAAGTGCAGTCCCTTCAAACCTCCATCTTGTTGGGAGGTTTTCTGGCCCTACATCAGTTTCATATAGCTGTTCAATTGTTTAGGGCAGGGGTCAGCAACCCCCTCTGCTGCGGCTCCATTGCTGATCTGCTCAAAGCTCCACTCAGAAATGTGGTGCTAGCTATTTAAGTAAATCAGCTAGTTAAGTAAATTCGCTACATTCCTCTGCTAAACAAGCTTCCTGCAGGCTCTCATGTTACACTAAACACGCTGCTGAAAAGATTCTCTTTGTCCCAATGTAATCTCCTTCATCTGAATGTTAAAAGCTGCGCTTGGGACCTGTCACAATTCACAGCACTTGACTGTACCTGCTAATCAGTCACTAAACACACCTATATCTGTGGACCCCCTCCGATTTATCGATGAAAAGTTTTTGAAGAAAACCAAACGTTTAATGATCGTGGATAGATTCATTTGCTTTTACTGCTGATGAACTTATGGGGTTTGCTGTTTAATGCATGCAGCCCTTTAGCACTGACTTTGCAGGAAGCTGTTCTCCTATTCAAAATATATGAAAGGAGTCCTACTAGTTTATTATGTAAGATTAAAAATAACCGTTTTTAGTGACTGAACAAGAGCTGCAGCTAAATCATAATGAAGATATACCTAGCATTAAGGTAAAAGACGATATATGCAGTGTTATCTTCATTTTAGATGTCAAAAGGGTTTTGCGGCTCCCGGTGTTTTCTTTTGTGTGGGAAATGGGTCCAAATGGCTCTTTGAGTGTTAAAGGTTGCCGACCCCTGGTTTAGGGGATACAACTGAGCGCTGTGGAGCCCAATGATGTAACTGCCACAGAACAGAGCAAGAATAGCATTGCAACAGCTTCTAGAGGAAACGGACATTAAATGTTACCCCCAACCCTGAAAGGAATTCCAGGATATCATGGTCCATGGTATCAAAAGTGACTGAGAAGTCCAGGAGAACCAACAGGGTCACACTTCCACTGGCAAAGGTCATCCAAGGCAACTTCTGTCCCAAAGCCAACACAGTCAACTTCTTCCAAGAACACCTGAAGTTGTTCAGCAACAACACTCTGGAGTACCATGCCCACGAAGGAGGTATTAGCAACTAGCCTGTAGCTGCTGCTTGCTGCCAAGTCCTGGTCATGTTTGTTGAGAAGCAGCCAGGTTCCTGTCTCTCTTATGGAGGCTGGTACAGGTGCTGCTCTCCAGGAGAGCTTGCTGCCTCCCAAGCCAAACCAGCCACCCCCTCCCTGATAGATGTAGCAAACCAGGATGGGCAAGGCTTGAGGTGCTGTGCATCCTTATGTCTCAGGAATGGAAATTCATCCAATAGGGCTGGACCAGACCATCTGCTGCACACCTCTTTTAGCGGAACTGCATAAATAGAGCAGTCCATGAGCAATTTTATCTTCAAAGTGTCATGCAAATTTATCACAGCAAGCTATTAAAGGTGTGACCAATTCCCTTTCAGGGTCAGAGTAACCCTTTCCTCACTTGAAACTGTTCTGCTATGCACAGATGAGACAGCTGCATTCCCTTCTACCAGTTATCTTATTTTCCACTTCATAAGCACGGTAAGGCTCCAAGTGGGCAGACTTTGCATGAATGAGAACTATACAGCCTAACTGTGATGTACCTGGTTACAGTCTGATCCTAAGAACTACCATCACCTTTCAAGGAAAAGAAGTTTCTTTGCTGAGCCAAAGGAAACAAATGTATACATCAAGGGGAAAGTGAAAGTATGAATTTTCCAGAGAAAGCGTGATTTTCCAAAGCATGCTCCGGAGGAATGCAAAGTCTTTCCGCACCAGATTCTTTACCATGGTCCCATTTCATGTGGCTTTGGTGGCAAATTCTACTCACAAGGTGAAAAGTGGCTGTGTAAAGGAGGGATGTGCTTGTTCAGAATCCTTGTTTGAGAACCAGTGTGGCATAGTGGGTAAGAGTGCAGGACTGGGACTCAGGAGATCTGGCCAGTAACAAACTCTTCGCCCAGCCTATCTCCCAGGATTGTTGTGAGGATAAGATTGAGGAGAAGAGAATTATGTAATTTCTTGAGTTCCTTGGAAGCAAAAAAAAAAAAGTGGGATGGAAAAAGAATAAATAGAATAATCAAATGTAAGGACAAAGAAAATTCTTTAGAAAGCATCTCATCCATTTGGTTACAATGGAACACATAATATTCCCTACATGACAGAAATGCTCAGGAACAAATATGGCCACCTGTGGCATGGGCTGCACTGTATGGGGGCAGGTAATTGAGAGATGGAAGTACACAGTCACTTTCCTTCCATCGCCCCACCACTGCCCCACCTCCTTCCATGGACGACCACATTTCCTGTTGTTCCCAGGCATGACGACTTGCGAACCGCAGCCACTGCAGCAAAGAAAACAGGATCTCTCCCACCGTCTGGCCCAGTGGCGAGCGGGTCCTGCGCCACTCACCCCCGCTTGCCACCATGCGCGGCGGGCTCTGGGGTCGCCCCAGCACTCGGGCTGGACTCGGCAGCCCCTGAAAGGGAGGCGTCCGCTCAGGACCGTTCCCCGTCCTTTCACGAGTCCCCCACTCTGGGATTTGTCCACATGGCGACCGAATTCGACACAGCGCAGAGCAAATGCGGGAAGCCTGCCAGGGCGAGGCAGGCTCTCCTGGAGTCTGCACTCATGCGCTGCACCGCTCGCCGAGCCGCGGAGGCGTTGCCGAGGGGCCCCGAAAAGCGGGTCTGGGGCGCGATGCCGGCGCCCCGACGCCGCGCCGGACGTTACCTGCGGAAGTGCCCGGGGCGGCGGCGAGGTGGAAGCGCGCCCGACGCGCGGGAGAAGCCCCGCCGCGAGCTCGCTGGAGACCGCGGCCGCCTGGGCCGCAAGGACGGCCCGCGGCGTCTACGCACAGGGCGCCCGGAGGGCTAAGGGCGCGTCGGCCGAGCGCCTCATCGAAGGCGGCCTCGGCAGGCGCAGGGCTCCGGCCAGCTTCACGGGGCTGGGCTGCCTCTGTCAGGGCCCTCCCAAGCCAGCCAAAGGCAGGAAGGGCGGCTGCCTCGCGGACACGGCGCCTTCCCTGCAGCCTTCCAGGGAGGCCTGGCCAGCCAGATCCGCCGGGCGCCAGCGCGAGCCGCGCCGGGCCGGGCAACAGGCCCCCCCCCCCCCCCCAGGAGGGGAGCTCCCGGCCGCGCCCAGGAGAAGGGCAGGCCGCCGGGGGCGCGCGCGCGCGCGCGGGTCGCCAGGTAGGCGCGAGACGGAGGCGGAGCGGCCCCTCCCGCGGAAATGAGTCACCCGCCCTCGGGAAGCGGGGCGCCGGTCACGTGCTGGCGCGGCAGCCTTTAAGGGAGGGCGCGCGCGCTCGCCGGAGAGCGAGAGGCGGGACGAGGTGTGCAGCCGGCAAGTTCGCCTTCAGCAGCCAGCCGGGCAGGCGCGGCCGACCGACCGACCGCCCGCCCGCCCGACCGCCCGCCCGCGTGGGAGAGCGGCCTGCTTGGACGGCGACCTGTGTCGACGGCGGGGCGCGTTCGCCCGCCCGCCCCGGACAGAGCTGCCGCGCGGCAGTTGGTGAGTGCGCGGGCGGCCTGGGCTTCCGTCTCCTTCGCGCGGGAGCGGCCGTTGCGGCTTGGCGGGAAGGGGCGGCCGGGGCGCTCGCCCGCCCGCCCGCCCGCCGAAGCTGTGGCGCGGCCAGCCGGCCGCCCACGCGGCCGCGGCTGCCCCGTCCCCCTTGCCGGGCGGCGGCGCCGACGCGCCAGCGCCCGTGACCTT